TCAAAGATTAATTGACCATATAATTGTGGGTTCATTCCTGAGTTTTCTGTTCTTTTCCATTGATCTGTTTTTGTGTCAGTATCATACTGTTTTGATCACTAGAGCTTTGTAATATAACTTGAAGTCTGGAATTGTGATGCCTCCAGCTTTGTTTTTCTTTTTTAAGATTGCGTTGGCTATTCAGGGTCTTTTCTGGTTCAATACAAATTTTAAGATTGTTCTAGCTGTGTGAAAAATGCCATTGGTATTTTGAAAGGGATTGCATTAAGTGTGCAGATTGCTTTAGGTAGTATAGACATTTAACAGTATTTGTTCTTCAATCCATGAGTATGGAATGTCTTTCCATTTCTTTGTGTCATCTTCAGTTTCTTTCATCAGTATTTCATAGTTTCTGGAGTACAGTTCTTTCACCTCTTTGGTTAAGTTTATTCCTATGTATCTTATTGGTTTTGGTGCAGTTGTAAATGGGATTGATTCCTTAATTTCTCTTTCTGCTGCTTCATTATTGGTGTATAAATATGCAACAGATTTCTGTATCTTGACTTCGTATTATGTGACTTTACTGAATTTGTTCATCAGTTCTAGTGGCTTTTTTGGTGGAGTCTTTCAAGTTTTCTATATAACGTATTATATCATCTGGATATAGTGAAAGTCTTACTTCTTTCTTGCCAATTTGGATGCTTTTTATTTCTTTTTGTTTTCTGATTACTGTGGCTAGGACTTCCAGTGCTATGTTGAATAAAAGTGGTGAGAGTGGACATCTCTGTTTTGTTCCTTAAAGGAAAAGCTTTCAGTTTTTCTCCATTTAGGATGATATTAGCTGTGGGTTTTTCAGATATGGCCTTTATTTTGTTGAGGTGTGTTTTCTCTAAACCTACTTTGTTGATGGTTTTTATCTTGAATGGATTTTGTACTTTGTCAAATGTTTTTTTGCATCTATTGAAATGATCATATGGTTCTTATCCATAAGAACTTATCCATAAGAACACTAACGAGTGGAGACAGGAGTAAGTCTCTGAGGCCTCTTAAATTACCACATTATACCACCTGGCTTTGATGACCAAATGCCGTTAAAAACAAGCGAACTAACAAAAACCGAATCAATACGGTTCTAATGAAGGATGCCAAAAAATACACTTTTCCCCTATTCTCCCATCTCCCTGAACTCTGAGGGAATCACTGGAAGTGACAAGGTGAAAGAGTCAATTTTGTACAACAAATGGGCAAGCTGCTGAACTCACAATAATTTTGGCCCTACCACTGGACTCCGCTTCTCATATTTTGTTGGTTATGCTAGAGCCCTTAATTGTAAGGTGTCAGCTAGTTTCTATGAGTTGGTTAATCTTCTGTTTTGCCTGGAACTTCTGTCTCCTGTTTCTGCATTCTTCCACTTAAACAAAATGTGTTCAAAATTGCTTGTGATTCAAGAATTGGCTTTTTAAGAGGCTGGACTTTATAACTGGGATTATGTATTGACAAATGATACAATAGTTACCATTTATTGGGTGATTACTGTGTTTCAGATGCCCTGCTTTGTGTGGATTATCACAGTGACTCCTCATTTTACAGATGAGGACACTGAGGCAGCGGGAAGTGGGGGCAGCGGTGGTAATGAGAAGCCGAACTGGGTTTTCAGTTCCAGAATTGCATAGCAATTGTGCCTTCCATGAGCTTCTCTAATATATTTGGTGCCAGAAGTACATGTAGCTTTTCTTCAGGTGACTAACAGCTGGCTTCTAGCTTAATATACAGACAGTCCTATACTTAGCATGGTTGACCTTACCGTTTTTTAATTTTACAGTGGTGAGAAAGTGATGTACATTCAGTAGACACTATACTTTGAATTTTTGATTTTGGTTTCCTTCGGGCTAGTGACGTGTGGTATGATGCTCTCTCATGATGCTGGGCAGCGACAGTGAGCCCACAGCTCCCTCGTGCAGTCACGAGGATAAACAACTGATACACTTATAATTAGTCTATACCCATACAACTGTTCTGTATTTTTTTTAACTTTCAGTACAGTATTCAATAAATTGCCTGAGATATTCAACGCTTTATTACAAAATGGGCTTTGCTAGGATGCTAGATGATTTTGCCCAACTGTAGGCTGATAGAAGTGTTCTGAGCATGTTTAAGGGAGGCTAGGCTAAGCCACGATGCTCGGTAGGTTAGGTGTATTAAATGCCATTTTCAACTTGTGATGGGTTTATCAGGACATAACCCCGTTGCAAGTTGAGGAAGAACTGTACTTAGGTGATCTGATCGTTCTCTTTAGGTTTAATTTAAGGCAGCAGAAAAAGTCTCATTTCATGTGTGTGTGCAACCTTTTTTGTCAGATGAGACGTGACCTTATTTTCATCCCTTGATCTTGAGTTATGAAGGAGGTTGTTAAAATGAATGATGTCCTGCAACTGTCGCCTATTTCTCTGAAGCCTGATCTTAAATTAGTTTATATTTCTGCCAATGCAAAGGATATTTGAATAACAAGGGCATAAATTATTATAAAAGGTGAACTTTATTTCTGATTTTAATGACTTCTCACAATTATGAATAACAGATCAAGGAGACATGATATGTTCAGGTGTGACAAATTACCTTCTTGGGATTTAAAATGTGGTTTTTAATTTAAGGTAACAAATGCTTATTGAGCATAAAAGGGAAAATAAAGAAGAGTAAAAAGAAAGTTAAAAATCACTCATAGTTATATCACTCAATAATAGCTTTAAAAATGTTGATATGTTTTATTCTATGTTTTTTCCATGGTCACAATTGTAATATATCAGTTAAGGTTCTAGCTGTAAGGTGACTTTGGAGGCAATGGGTGGGAGGGCAGCTTACAGAACTGATGGGAGCCTGGGGCATCAGAATTTGGAACAGGTAATAACCAAAGGCACCCTGATGGGCCAGCAAACAGGAAGGAAGATGCAGAGTGGCCTGAACATAGCTGACCAGGATGCTGCTGCCCTAGCACATTGTGGGTGCCTCTTCACTCCCCTCCTTGGCTGTGCTCCATCAAGAATCTCAGGAAAGTGAGCACCTGGGTGGCTCAGTGGGTTAGTTGTCTGCCTTCGGCTCAGGTCTTGATCCTGGAGTCCTGGGATCGAGTCCCTGCATCGGCTCCCTGCTCCGTAGGAAGCCTGCTGCTCCCTCTGCCTCTCTCTCTCTGTCTCTCATGAATAAATAAATAAAATCTTAAAAAAAAGAAAAAAAGGAGTCTCAGGGAAGAGTGTCTGATTGCTGGAGTGTGTCGTCAGCCCATTCCTGGCTATACCATGGGAAAGAAGAGGGAGGATTTGACGATTTTGCTTTTTGAATTGAAAAAGATAACTAACATGTACTATCTTTATTGAGTATTTTGTGTGTACTGAGTAATATTCTGAGGCTTTCTTAAATTAACTCATTCACGTCCTTACAGATGTCCACTGAAGCAAGTACAGTTCATATCCCTGTTTTATAGCTGAGTGACCAGATGAGGTGCAGAGAGGTGAATGAAGTAGCTGGCCACTCTTGGGGGGGGTACTGGGATGTGAGTCCTCAGGCTTTAGGGCTGGGGTGTTTAACCACTCTGTTCTGCTGAGCCTTGGCGGGGGGCAGAGAGGGGGTGAGCCAGTCCTGCCTCCCACTGAGACACCACCCAGTGGGAAACAGTGGGCTTCTGGAAATGAATATGGCTGTTATTAGAAAAATGATTCATTAAAATAGACCCAGTGTTCATTAAGATACTTTGTAACTTACAGTTATGCAATAATCATATGTTCATGCAACTTCACATCTTCCTATGGTTTTATATATCTTAATAGTTACTGGTTTTGAAGATTTGGATTAACTTCTTTCAACCTGTTTTCCCTTCTTTTAATGAGAGCTAATATTTATTGAATCCTATCCATGTGCTAGGCACACTTCTAAGTGTTTCACGTCATTATTTGTTTTTCTCTTCACTACCTGTTTTTTGTGTATTGTGAATCTAAAATTCATTTTTTTTAATTGAGTGAATGATGCTAATGAAAATGTAGATTTTGGTAAAATGTTTAACTTCTGAAGTTGTTCTTGTTTGTAGGGCATGGTGTCAGCCCCATTGTTATTCAGGCTACTTCTAGTGCCTCAAGTTTAGGAATCCAGTGCAGGTGACATTTCTAATAGTATCTAGGAGGCTACCTGACAGCAGCAATAGGGTTCTTGCCTCAGTGTGTTAAGAACTGACAGGTTTATAGCAACAGGGCAGCGTGTTTGCTGATGTTATTTTTTTTTAAAATGCAAACACCTCTCTATTATTATAGAATTTACTTGTTGAATTAAATGAATACTTGTGGGGCCCCTGGGTGGCTCAGTCCTTAAACGTCTGCCTTCGGCTCAGGTCATGATCCCAGGGTTCTGGGATCAAGCTCCCTGCTCAGTGGGAGGCCTGCTTCTCCCTCTCCCATTCCCCCTGCTTGTGTTCCCTCTCTCGCTGTGTCTCTCTCTGTCAAATAAATAAATAAAATCTTTAAAAAATAGATGAACATTCTTGACTTGGCCTTTTCCGTCACCACCCTAGTGGAGGTGTTGGGTCCTCAAGAAGGTAGAAATCTAGGCTCCCCATGAGCTTTACTAGTCTATTTGGGGATGGGGCCAGTTTTTTTTCTGTGATGTTTGGTTGGAATAGAGTGGTTATTCTCTAAAAGTTTTTGTTTTATCAGGCTTCCCCTTTCCTGGCCCTTGGCTAAAGAGAGCAAGCTTTCGTTGGGAGATA